TAAATTACTAAATTTAGAAAAGTAAATATTTTTTGTTGGACAGTAATGTAGTGGAAATTGAGATATGGTCATGGTACAGGCTAAAACACTAATGGTCAGCTAATATAGTTTCGGTTTTACATGTAAGTACTATTCTAGGCAGGTTTATTTTCGTAAATTGTATTGCAAAATAGTAAGTTCTTTATATTTTTGTAATTTCTCAAGTGAATTAAGCTGCAAACTGATTATTTCAAATTTTAATAATTAATTTTATTAATTTGATCTTTTCATCTGAAATACTCTTTTTACTTTTTCTTCATAAAAGCTTAAAACAATGTATTTTGCACTATTATAGAAATGTACTCGCATCTTTACTTGTTCCTATATGTTTAAGAAACAATATTTTATTTGACAAGCGAGGCGGCCAGAAGACGCTTAACCCTGAAGGCTAATGAATGGAACAAATCGGTAGGCCTTCTGAGGACTAAAATTTTCTTTAAATTTTAAATGATTGTGAAATTATTCACATAAGGTCGGAAAATTTTATTGTCACAGCTAAAATACGCATTGACACACTTAACCTATATAGTGTTATAACAATAAATGACGTAACATTAAAAACAAAATTATTTTTAATTAATTTTCGAAAGATTGTACAAGGTCGTTCCTCAATTGTTCTAATAAATTATTCTATACCAACTTGCATAGAATTCTAATGGCATAAATTAATTATGCGAGCACAATAAAAAATCAATAAAAATTTCTTTCAAATTTTCAAATTGTAAATTAAAAAAAACAAAAATGTCTAATAATTACTATTATTCAAATTATTCTTTTAAAAGTTTATTTTTATATTTTAAGGATAAAAATCATTTGCAAATATAAAACAATAAATTATCAATTTTGATATTCATTCTTCTTTGCCCTCTTCTATATTCTATATTGTCATTTAATTATCTTTTGTAATCTCATACTTAAACTTAAAATATGTAGTTTGTTAAAACAATAAGAAATTTTTTAAAAATGTACACTTACAGTATGCTTACATAATTTTCAAATAAAAGTTAGAACAATGAATTCGGATCAAGTTAATGGGGTTGAAAGAAGCGCATTTCCCTTTAACTTAAACTTTAACGAAAATAAAACTTGCATTATTATGTTATGCTCACTTTCAATTCTTAGAGCCTGATAGTGGATCTCGCAATTTTACTGGCCAAGTAAGAAGAAAGTGAGTAACTATTACATATATTTGTAATAGTTATTATTATTGTATAATGTAATTTTCGAGTGAGAAGAAATTTTTCGGTATTCTCGTTTCTCTAAAATGTATTCAAAATTTATTGACTTTGTTTTTGCATATGAAACGTATTGTCGATCAGTTGAGAATAATTTCAAAAATCTAATTGAGAAAATGAGTAATCTTATTGGTAAAATGAAACAGAGAATTCTGATTTGAAAGCGAATAAAAAATAAGATAAAAAAGTGAGATACACGATTTATTCTTATTTTGCTTTAATAAATTATTGCATACTATTAGGCTGAAAATACGAATTGAAATAAGTGTTGTTAATGAAATGCTTGTATTCGACGGCAAATTATATTGGTTAAGATACGCATTTAAATATGCTTTTTGATTGGTAGATTGCCACTACTACCCCCGGCTAAAGGCAATTTGAAAGACCATTGTCGCTTAGTTTAACGCTCACACATGCTGTTTTGAAATAGAAAAAAGCAAGTTCTAATATTTTTTCTACGGAACACAATAATATTCCTGGTTTTTCTACAATAAATTAACAAAAACTAATTTTTTCAGTCTTTGAGTGTCTCTTCATCCATATTTTTATATTGAAGAACCCCTCTTACAGGGGGGAAGGTAAATAGTATTTTTCATCTATTCAATCGAATTTCTCGAAAATCTCGTTTTGTGTACAAAATTTCAATTGTCTTATGCAAAAGTTGTCTAAAAAGTGCAAAAGTTTTTGTTTAAATAGACTTAGAACAGATTAATAAGAACATTCCATTCAACTTTCTTAGGAATGTGCTAAACACTAAAAAAAAATTTATTGAGTTCTTAACTACATGAAATAAAACAAAGACAAAAAAAAAATAAATAATTTTACTACTTAATATAAAATAAATCCTCTTTGAAGAACAAAACATTTACATATAGAATAAAACAAAAGCAAAAAACAAAAAAAAAACCAAAAAGAAAAAAAAAAGGACTCTTCTCATATGTCGTATGCATGCAATAAATTTTTATATTAGCATAATATACTTACATATTATATGCATTATACTAGACATATGTATGTGTAGGTGTGATTTTAATATACATTATTATTACATTTTACAAAATGTATAACATAATAAGCATAAAAACAAAATAAAACATTAAAAATTATATTCAACATGGATTTATTCATGGTTTACTAATCGAAATTTTATAGGTTAATAAAAGGCTCTAGTAATAATATGTATACAATTTTTGAATATTAAAAAGGATATACCAAAAAAAAAAAATAAAATTTATTATTTCCTTTATAATTTAAGCATGTATGCATATTATGTTTTTCATATTTATGTGTATAGCTCTGTATGTAAGTTTATAATATGAAGATTAGGTCAAAATTATACAAATATGCCAATGTTTTCTATATAATAAGTATAGAATAGCAAGTATAGAAGTAAATGGACATTGCAAGAGAAAATATATGAGAATCAAATAAATATTGTATAACGTATAAGAATGAAACATAGTAGTCTCTCGATAAATGATCACTTACCAAGTTTATCAACAAAATGAGAATTTTATTGTTAAATCATAATACAACTAATTTATATCGCAGGTAGAACTTTAATCACAATTACTATTTACCAGTGAAGTCTCTTGAACTCTACTCCTTTTATTTGCTCCTTACCATAAGTTTGTTAAGTAGACACTCGCACAATTATTGTTGTTATCTTGGGTCTTGAATAATTACGTATAAAGTTTAGATTAACACTGTTAAAATATCTTTAATGGACTCCATGCATTTCTAAAGAACCAGGTAAAAATATTAAAATCTGCTACTTTATTTTGAAAAGTAAGTCTAAACTTCGAGTTTAAAATCATTCTGTTAATCAATTTAGTTGATTATTCAACTAAAATTTTTCAGTTCCAGTACCATAGAATTTTTTTTTAAAGAAAAATTTTGGAATAGAATTTTTTTTAAATAGATTTTTATTTTAAAACCCAACGAATTTATTGTTTTTTGAAAATAATATTTTTAAAATTTATTATGCTTAATAACAATTTGCTATTGTATTCCATTTCAATTTAAACCAAAGAAAGTGTGGTTGTTCAAAAATATCATGCAATAACCATCAATAACCACCGGAATAGCTTTAATGAATGAATAGTTTTCGCCAAAACGACAAAATAGACAATCTTTTTTACACTTTAGTCCTTACACATTAGATAATCAATTAGCTTACACATTAGACAAGTCTTGACCTTCCAAGTTCATGGTAATTCCTTCTAACAATAGAATAAGTTAAAGATCAATAGAATAAGTGTTTCTTATTGCAACGAATTAAATCTTTAACGTAACTTTTGATAATCCATATTATACAATAACTTTTGAGGGTCCACATATTATTGTTTGATTTAAGAAATTTTTATTTATTAAGAGTTCAAACAAAAGTGATTGTTCTGTATTATTGTACACTCACGTACTGGACCTAAAGTTGCCTATCTAACATATACAGAATTATATACGCACTAATATAAAATATGTGTAAATGGCAAATTCCAATGGAATTATTATAAAATTTAAATAAATTTCAATTAGTTATCATTTGGTTATTTATTATGCAGGACACAGTTTGTATTTGAATATTATTCCTTAAAAATTCATAGATTTTTTTTTTTTACAAATAAAATTATTATGCATACAATTTTTATTCATAAATATTTTAAAATATAAGTATGAATGTATGAGCATTTACAAATGATTGTAAACATATGTATGTGCTTGCATATTTTTATTTTTAGAAAAGTAAATAACTAGAAATTTTATTTTTATTAAGTTATAAACGATTTATGCATTTTATTTAATAATATGTAAATTATTTATAGATTGAAAACAAATTGTAATTATTATTTTGTTACAAAACAAATTATAAAATTCATAAAATTGAAAATTGTTATACTGTTATAATTTTTATGACAACAAATCATAATGGCTTAAGTTTATATAAAATGACATAGACTAGTTAATAACGGATAATACCATTAAAATTTCCGGCCAAAGTGGTCGATGTTGTACACATTTCTTAAATATTCCAAAACTTGAAATTGTCTTTAAGGGAAGAGCACTCTGAAATAGTGATAAGTATCGAAAGCAAAACTTTACACAATCTTTACAATTTTATACTAGTGAAGTTTTCAAGATGAATTAACTGTAAGATCTCGTTTTATACGGTGGATTCATTCACAACGAATCGAAAAGAAATAGATTGCCTAATGAATCAATTCGAATATAGGTTTATATTCGAATTGATATAGTTTTAAATCATTATCACTATCTGATCGCTTATGATGTGGTTCCAGTAACTGATATCTGAGTGTAAAGGGTTTAGATAGATCCAGCCGTTCTTTACACCCATATACGTCCCATGTCAGTGGAACAATTTGAGTAATATGAGTATATGATGCTTTGAGCGTTTGACAATTTTTCAAAACTTTCTATGCGCGGGTTTCCTAAACAAGCCCATATGTATGTTTGTCAAAGAAATTTTTGGATGAAATACTTTGGATTTTTTTAAATAAAAAATGACGATTTAATTAAAGAGGAAACAATAAGTATTCTCGATTTTTAAACTCAAGTCTAATGTACTCCTTATTTCTGTAATTTTATAAAATATTCCAAGTAATTGCAAGAATAAAATAATTCAAAAAAACAATAAAGATTAAGAAAATAAATTCCATTTTTTTATTTCGTTTTAATATTAAACAACATTTTTTTTAATCCTATTTTCAGATATGGGAGCTACAAAGAAGCCGTTACCAACGAAAGTACGTAAAAATGCAGCTCCAAAATCGGCACCATCTGAAACGTTAGAATCAGTAACTTCTACTACCGAATCGAGTTCAACTTCTAAAGATGTCTCCATCAAAAATATAACGTCTGCAACTACTACATCAACGACAGCAGCATCAGCGACAGAAGGTGAAAATGTAGCTGTGAGTGGTAATGATACAACTGATATTATCAGTGGTGGTGTTACTAGTGGTGAAAATGATAATAATGATAACAAACAGCAAAGTGCGCTTGATGGTAGTAATAATAAAAATATTGAATCGGTGTCATCACGAATAATTAAAAAGAAACAAACTACAAAAAAGGTTCCTTCAACATTAAAAAGTGGCATTCCAAAAATATCAAAGTCTGAGAAATCAAATACTAACGATAACAAAAATGAATCACATGAAATAGTTGAGTCATTAATAACTGATACTGTTACAAATAGTGTCATAACGACATCTATATGTGATGGTAGTGGTAGTAGTAATATTAATAAAAACATTGATAATGTTAATAACAGTACAAACACTGCCGTTAGCACAAATTTAGTAAATGCAGCTGTTGAAACGACGATAACAACCACGTCATCAACTTCAACAACTTCTACCCTTTCTGGAAGTACAAAAGCTGCTATAACATTAACAACAACTTCACAAGAAAAGCTTCCATTAGTGGATAATAAAACAAAGGCTTTAGATAAAATGCTCAAAAGTTTAGATATTAAAATAAGCGGTTTCAAAGATATAATTCCTACAAAAGCTGGTCTTGTAGCAGGTGGTTCTATATCAGAAAATGTCAAAACAAAATATAGAGCTGCAAAAATATCACTTGGACCATTTAGCTTTCAAAGAGCATTTAGTAGTTATAAGAAACCAAGAGAAAATGTTAAAAAACCTATTAAAAAGACCACTAATCAATCTCAAGATCTGACTGAAAAGTCGAATGATAATACCAAAGCGGATACATCACAAACTGATAGTAAAAAACAGGATACATTATGTACGAATACTCAAGAGCAAAAGTCTCAAAATGAAGATAAAGTCGAAACAAATACCGCACAAAAGAAATTAAGTACCTCACCCAAAAAGTCACCCGCGAGGAAACAGAAGGTTAAAGGAACTGAAGAGAAACTTGTAAGCGGAACAGAACTTAATAATACAGGTGAAAAATTAGTCGAAGATGATGATCAGTTACTTCGGGATAGTATAAATGCAGTTGAAACGTCAGTTGAAGATAAATCCGTAAATTGCAAAAATGATCCTGAAAGTGATTCCAAATTATCTAGTCAAAATAAAGGCACCACAGAAAATTTAGCAAAAACTAAAGAAAAAATGAAGCGATCTAAGCTGGGGTCTATAAGTACTGGAAAGAAGGTTACTAAAAAGAAATTAACTAAAGCTCACTTGGCTGAAGACGGTGGTTCTACAACCGCCGACACTGGTTATTCTAGTTTTGTAAGTAGTAAATCTGATACGCAATCAGAAGCTGCACAAAGTATAGATCTATCAGCAAAATCTGTTTGCAACATGGATAGTGCCAAAATGCATCAGGAAGAAAATGATGAGCCAAAAACTAAGGCCAAGAAAGGTCGACCAAGAAAAGATGTATCAGGAAAATTAGTTGCAAAATCTAGAGATTTATCAAAAACCACAAAAATTAAAAAACAGTTAACGAAAATTAAAGAGAAGATTACGGAAATCGTAACATCAAAGTCGACAACAAAAGAGAATTCGGTTCATGAAACTGATAAAGTAATGTCGCTACAATCAACAGCAACAGGTGATCAGCACTCTGTTACAGATACTTCCGAACGATCATCGATTCACAATACCTTAACAGAACACAGTAACCCTGCAGATATACTCCACTCTGCTACTAAATGTGATGATATACAAGTTAAAAAGAATTTAGATGAACCTCAAACTTTCAACCCAACTACCTCAACAACAAGTAATATTTTAATGCATGTTGACATGCTTTCAGATGAAAGTGATTCAGAGGCTGTTGTTAAAGCCTATATATCAGAAATAATTAAAAACGTTGATGATTCTGAAGGTAAGAATAGTGATGAATGTCCAAGTCCAAAGAAAAATTCTCCCTTGATACTATTTTCGGATAAGAAAGAAGAAAAAGACACACAAATTACAAAATTGAGTCAGGAAACTACAGCAAAACAAGCAGATTCACCGAAAAAAAACGATAACAGACCCCTTAATACGCCAACCAGTACCACATGTACAAATAATAAACCCAAAATGATAACAGTGCGCGAACGTTTACAACAAAAATATGTTACTGCGTTTAAATTTAACAGTATGACATTGCCAAAGAAAAAAGATCCTGCAAAAATAAGTGCGGCAACTCAAAGAGGCAAAAAATCTAAGGTTACACAAGAATCTTCAACACAACAACAAAAAATCGAAACGGTGCCTGCCAAAAAATCTACAGTGGCAGATATTTATGATTTTAAAACTGAATCTGAAGATGAAGAGAATATTAAAATGAATTTATTAAATGAGTCATCATTAAAAATTAAAGCCCCATCACCTGAAAATCCGAAGTTAACAAAAGACGATGAAGATGATGAATCTCAAGATAGAGATGGTTTAAAGTCAAAGTCAAATAGGGAATCTTCCGATAGCGACAATAAACCTTTGAAAAGCACACCAAAAAACTCGGCTAATAACACTCCAATAAAGCAGCAGAAAGTTACAAAAACTGAGAGCTCAACTGACAAAGCAGCAGGCAAAACATTAATTAAAAAATTCGCTAAACCTAGTAAACTTGCATCCAAAAGTAATTTAACTAATCGTACTTTAAAGGGCTCAGTTACCAAAGCGAAAGCCAAAAAAGGTAAATCGAAATGGTTTATTGAAGTTTCAAATACTGAGTCAGATTCTGACGAAGATGGTACGCAAAAGTCTAAGAAGAAAATTGTTTTGATGCCTAAACGTCGGATGGCATCATTGAATGCTTTGGCAAAAGTCCAATGTCTATACGAGAATGAGTCACGAACTAGCAATGAATTAGGTTTATCGAAAACAATGCAGATACCCAAAATTCGTACAATTGCTTCTGCTAGTAGTTCAGATGAAGAAAAAGAAATAGAAAAGAAAGCAGCAGCTGCTGCTGCCGCTGCCAGTGCTATGGCTTTAACATCATCGGCCAAACTAAAGGATGGCTCAAAAGAAAATGAGAAGGAAATAAAAAAATCGAAAGACGATAAGGATTCAAAGGAAAGCAAAGATCATAAAGACAAAGATAAAGAGAAAAGTGATTCAAAATCACAAAAGACGGGAAAGGATGCTCCGAAAAAAAGTGAATCAAATAAGGAAACCAATAAAAAATGTGATGTTAAAGAACAAAACAGTAAAAAGACGGACACAAAAGAACACGCAAGCAAGGCCAAAACAACTGAAAGTACGTCTGTCAAGAAAACGGAATCTCTTAAAAAAGAAAAGCCAGTGGTGAAAATCAAAAGTGAAGATGAATCCGAGAAATCTGAAGAAGAAATTGAAGTAAAACGAGAATTGCGTAATGTACCCGGATTGCGAGGTGTTGGAAAGCATTGGGATTTCAATGAAAGTTTTGAAAGCGCGAATGAAAGCGATATATCATTTTATCGATACGATGGTGATCACAAACCTAAAAATAAACGTAAAAAATTAAAACTGAAGCAAAAATTACAAAAAATTAAACGTGAAAAATTGGCAAAAGCTACTAAACCTAAATTAGCACAATTTAAAACACGTAAATTAATTAAAAAGAAAATTACTAAACTAGTCAAGGCGTCTACAACTAAAACGCCTAAAATACAAAAAACTAAAATAAAAAAATCAAAACCGCAACAAAATACCTCTAAACAACAAATTCCACAAAAGCAATCACCGGACCGTGAATTGGTGCCGCAGCAACAGCAGCACAAATCAATTGCTAGTGATTCTGAAACAAGTGATGATGATTTAACTGAAAAGAAAATCAAAAAAGAAACTTTAGCATCCATGGCCGATGAGGCAAGTGCAATAAAAAATAAGAAAAAATTACCGTTTAAAAAACGAAAATTAATTAAACATGACGACTATTTAAGTACTTTGAAGGGATTAGCACGGAAACGTATGGCTAGTTTGAATGCAAGTGCACTAGTTGCAGCTACTTATGAATTAGAAGGGCACTTAGATAAAAATTTAGAAGAATTAGATTGTTACGAAGTAATTGAGGAAAAACCAGCCATATTAACACCAAAACGTCTTAAAGATAATATAAAGAAAGATGTTAATAGTCCGATTCCTACAAATGTTCAAACAAGCACAACAAAGACAAGTACTACGCCAACGAAAGATGTAACAACATCAATAATAGATAAAGAAGATAAAGAACCAAAAGATATGGACATTGAAGAAAACTATAATATTCCGACACAAACTAATAAGGAAAAATCATCATTAAAAGATGGTTTAAAAGATGATAAAGATGACAAGGATGCTGATAGCATCGAAAGCTTAAAAGATCTCAAAGATAACAATAGTAAAGATGGAAGCTGCAGTAAAGATTCCTTAAAAGATCAATCAACAAGTAGACCAACATCATCATCAGTTGTTATTGTACAAGATACTGATGTCACAATTACAGGTGTTTATGTTAATTCAACTACAGGTTCTAGTCAAGAAGCATATTGTAAAATGCAATATCGTGTGCAATCTAGCGTTACAGAAGAAAGAGTTGTTAGTAATATTGAAAATAATAATGTGCCACCAAAATCATATACACCGCTAGGTGCGCTATCAAATATGCGACCACCTGGAACAAATGAAGGTAAATATAATTTGGCATTAAACAATTATTTTTTAAAATTATTGTTAAAATTGTGTAATAATAGAAGATGGAAAGCTTTCTTAATTTAAATACGTACATACAAAATTAATTAAATTTTTTCATATAAAATGCTATTGATAATCTTAACCATAAGTTCTTTTAACTGTAAATTTCTAGATTAATACGTTGTTAATTTAGGAAGAGGAACATTTTAAGGTTTGGAAAGTATAATGTATAATGCTTGGACCTTACAGTTTTTGATTTTCTATGACAAAATTAAAGATATTTTCTTTTTTAATTCAATCAGCCCGGAGCTTTCCGCATATTTCTGAAAAAACTACTTAAATGTGTTATTGTTGCAAGTTTTTTAGTGAATTCTCATATAACACTCATTCTACTCACGTTAGTTATTTTTTTCCTGCTAAGTGACAGGCTTAGTGACTATTTTTTTTTTTTCTTTAAATCGTTATACTTTGATAATAAATCTTATGTATAAAGACATGTAAGGGAATTCTTTTTAAAATTAATTTACTGTTATCTACACAATTTTTTTATTTAAACTTATCAAATAAAAATAAATTAATTATATTTAAATTATTTCTCTTTCATTCTATAATGAAATTAAACAAAATAAAATTAAAGGACAAGGAACAAATTTAATTCCATCAAATCCAACTGCATCACAAGCACAAGCATCATCAACTCAAATATCATCGACATCCGAACAACATTCTTCAACTGCATTAAGTATTTATCCACAACCTCCTACACAACAGCCCGTTGGCCCTGCTTCAGTATCATCAGCTGCAGCAGCAGTATTAAGTCATCATCATCAACATCATCATCATCACCATCATCATCACGGTGAATTAAATCCATTACAACATCCAAATAATTTAATGAGTGTGGTGCCAATTGAAGAAACATCACCTGGCGGTACTATTTATGCACATCAGCCACAATCTCAAAATTCAGCAACACAACAACAACAGCAACCACCGCCACCACCTGCTCCACCACAATTGAGTGCAGCACAGCATTTAAGTCATTATGGAATGCCACCACCATCATTGCATCACTCACAATATGATCCATCACAACAATATCAATATTCAACTGGTTTAAGTGGTCCAACACATCACTATCAACATCCATCAGCTGGTGGTCCTGGACCACCACCACCACCGCAACCTATAATACATCATCCACATTATGGACCACCAATACCGCCACCACCCCCACCACCACAATTATCATCTACATCATCACAATCTCAAAATATTGTTCGATGTGATTCTCCCACATCGTTACAACAGCAACAACAGCAACAGCAAGTACAACAACAATATCATAATAATTTATATCAACCAAGTCCTCCAGGAGGACCACCATCATCAAATTTATCATCAACATCAATGGGCAGTTCACAAAGTGCATTCTGTCCACCAAATGTACAACAATCTCATCAGGATTTAAGTGGTAAGTGATTATTGACATTAAATTGTGCTCTTTAAAAGTTTATTTTTCATAAATTTTCATTCACTGAACTTAAAAATTTTTCTTTTTTTTTTTCACTTTATATTTAATTTTGCTTTTTTATATCCTTTGCTATATGAATAAGGATATAATTTAATTCAATGGGGGTGATTTAATATAATCTCTTTTTGATGCGATTGGAAATTGTTATAGTATTATAAAGTATTCATAGTATATAAAATCATAGGGCTTACTTAAATCAATGAGAAATTCGATAAAATGCGATAGACTTGATTGAAATATAAGCTGCAATTAAGTACATATAAAATATATATTTATTGACATTTCTATTTTGATTTATTTAAGAATAAAAAAAATTTCATTCGAAATAATATTAAATTCAAATAATAAATTTAAAAATTATATAAATGGTTAAAATCCTTGCTCCTCTTCTAGGTTATCTATTACAGTAGATAATACTGACTCTAAGCACATTGCTCGACATAGTAATGCAATTTCTTCACTCGCTTTCTATTACACAAATTTCGGAACAAAATCGTCACAAAACTACGTTTTCCTGGCGATATTTTCGATAGTGTAAAATCAGGCTTTTTTAACATTTTTATTTGTGAACTTCGAAAACAAAATTCACTTATTCATAAATTTTGTTTCATTTATCATTGAAATGACTTATCACATACTGAATACATAACATGTTAATATTTTTGTATCCTTAAGGATACAAAAAATTCAAATGAAAATTTTTCATATCATGGGAATTTAATATAATATGTAGGTCTACAAAATAAAAATTTCAGAAATTTTTTTCAACAAAATATACGTTTTCAGAAATGATGACAAAAATAAATTGAATCTACACGAAAAGTATACGCGTGAAAAGAATTAATTTAATCACTGTTGATTTATTTGTGATAATTGAAATAAGTATGTATATTCACTTCAAGGGAAAAAGATTAAAATTAAATTAGTTTGTATAATAGTTTTTATAATGTACTCAGTGGACATGAAAGAATACAATAAAATTGTTTCTTGTATCAAAAACGAAATTTAATTTATTAATTTTTTTTGTCATTTCACCTTTTTCACATGTCTTTAACTTTTAAATACTGAACTATTCATTCAACATTTCAAATAGAATACTAATAACAGTGATTAATAATTTTTCTGAGTGTGCACTAGTAAATTGAGAAAATAATTTTGTTGTCGTCACACATAATTTTCTAATATTATAATAGTATTTTGAAAAATTATTTTTATTCAATTTCAAAGCGACAGTATTAGCGATAACAATTTTGAATTAAAATTTATCTCTCTATCTCTCCAACATAATGGCGGTAAATATAAAATGGTTTACTTATAAAGATTTACTCATTAACTTAAAATTTGACAAAATTTCCAATTCTCCTCTCTTAATTTACTCAAATATTTGCTCATTCAAAACTAATTCTGGAAATAAATAAAAATTTTTTCTATTTTGTAAAACACTAAGTATAAACACTTATACATATTGAAAAATATTATACACTTAAATGTTACCTGGATGAAAAATACAAAAAATTCCCTTGAATTCAAATTTTCTATTCAAAAAAAAAAAATTTTTAATATTAGCAAATTAAATAAATGTGCTGATAAAATATTCATTATAATAAATTCATTTCGGTAAAACAAATTAATTCTTCTTATGGTTGGCGTGAATTTGATTAATTTGCTTTAAAAATGTTTACTCAATAAAACTGCTATTTGTTAAGTTGTTTTTTTTTCACAAAAATTCCGAAAGAAATTAACATAAATTATTCCGATTGCGATGTTTTAATATTTTTTTTGTTGTTTTGTTATTTTTTCTTGTTTTTATAATTGATTTTTCTTTATAATAGTATTATTAAGCAAAGTGTAAGAGAGCGTGAGAGCGTAATTTGTATAAAAAATATTCAATGGAAAATTGCATACTTTCAGGAGAGACAATTCTGTTATTTAATTTTTTTTTGGTCTTTTCTCATATGAAACAATTAATAATATTAAAATTAATAAGCATTGTTTAATATTGTTGCTATGCTAAGAGAAAATTTTTTAAATTGAAAATTATTTAAATATATTAGAAATATTTCAGAAATTTAAATTAATTACTTTGACAAATTTTACAGTGTTTTTGTCATTGATTCGCTTTCACTAGGAATCTGAATGGTCATATGATCGTATACTTGATTTGCGTACATATTGTATTTTGAATTTTAAATTTAAATGAAATTGTTGCCCCATTACTCCATTCATTTATGTGAAATTTTAAGATTGTTCAGTTTACAGTTCATGAAATATGACCAAACAATTTTTGAAATTGTGTGATAAGCACTCCTCGAATTACTGCTTTGATTGTATCCAAATTAAATTTCTAATACATTTTTTTCTGCTTTACTCCACTTGAGAGCATAGGGTTTCAAAAAAGCTTCGCAAACGAACTCTGCTAGGGGTCATACGTTTTATTTCTATGCATAATTTATTCGTCTGGACCAGAATACTCGGCAGATGATCCTGGGCACTCTTCTATTATTGAATATTTGTAATATGTTTGTATATTCACTTTTTGCTAGCCCTATTTCGGAGCCATACAACAGAGCTAATGTCACACGTGAGGTAAAAATTCTTAGTTTTGTACTTCTGGGTAAGTGTGAAGATTTCAATAATTTGCGAAATGTCGTCTTATTCAGCTTCAACCTGTTGAATTCTTTGTCATCTTTGATCCATCCAGTTGTCGATATTATACTGCCGAGACGATTGAATTGTTTGATATATTGCATTGGGCTGCAATTTATGGCAAATTGGGAAGGAGAAGGGTGAAAACTTATAACAATTGATGAAAATTTCGTTAACTTAGCTTAAGTAATATCTTATAATGTCTATTTCACAACGTTACCTGCGAAGTCTTAAATTTTTTAATACTCTTCGACCATTTATTCGTAATTTATTCCTACAGGTATAAAGAGATTTTAAATTGGTTTTTTATATTGGAAATCAAAATTATGTTCCATTACTGTAGTGAACGATTTGTCTATCTAAGAAAACGTAAATTTAGGGCTCAGGCAAACACGCAATGTTTTGGTTTATATTCAAGTGCAACTATATGATCTCATGCAATTAACCAATCAAACAGTTTGTAATTTTTTTACAAACTGATTGGAATTTTTAGTTAACGCACTTGATGTGAATTGACATAATAATTTAGCTGCCTAGATATGCCCGCAACGATCTTAAAATCAAGCAGTAATTGAAAAATTAAAAATTGTATGTATGTCTGAGCCCTAAATTAACAATATAATAAGTTTTATTGGATTTTATTTAAAATTTATTCAAAAATTTTTAAATAATTTTTCGCGTTTCAATTTTCTAAATAGCTATGCCGCTATAAGCGTTTTCGCGCTATGTTTCTCTATTCGGAGCAGTTGTTCTTTGGTTCAAACCTGAGCTGGATATTTTTTTTCTCAGTGAATAATAAAAGTTTAGAATATTATGTAGTTAATTTTAAGGTTATTCAAAGTTTAAAATATTTTCAATTCGCATTTACATAATTTGTAGGTTACAAAGAACAAAGTGGTAAGAAATGAAGTTCTAAAATCCGTAAGGATTTAAAGAAATTTTTATTCACTCTATCTCGTAATTTTTTTCCAAGTACATTTTTATTCCATAATTTTATTTCAAAACAATTTATTCTTGGATCAATGTTTTTTATATTATATAACCATTTAAAGGTCTGTTAATTTTTCATAAAGTTTTTTAAATTTAAAGAAAAATAAATAAAAAATGTGAACAGTGAACGCTAAACAAAATATGTTATAACAATAAAAAGTTTTTTTTTTTACCATGAATAACAATTCCTCGCACGCATAAACACAACACAGGTGTGAGTGTATGTTTGTTTATGACGAGTATAGTTTAAGTAGCCGTAAAATATGAGATTTTTTAGCTTCCCTTTTTTTATTATTATTACCGTTATAATCCTTAACGATACTGTTTTTATTACTGTTACTTTTTTGTTTTGTAAAAAGTTATTATTATTTGCTATTAAAATATGATCCACTATCAGGATTTTTAGTGAAGAGTTTAAGAGTTTTTGTGTTTTTCCAAGCTCTTTTAAAATAATATTTTTAAAGATTGTACGCTAATAATAAATGATTTTGTAAAATTAAAAGCAGTTAAAATTTATTATGTTTTTTATTTTATTACTTGAAATCTTTAGAAATTATTTTCTATTAAACTACATGCACTTGTATTGTAAGAATGAAAGCACAGTGACTTCAAAATTGCAGTAAAATCGCATTAATATGCTTAAATTGCTATGAATTATGTGTTAGTAACCGTATGTAAACTGTAATTTCGAAGTGTGGGACATTTTTTCGGCATTATTCTGGAATGGAATCTGGTTAAATGGAATTATCGTGATTTACAAGAATTAAAAATTTCAGTGTTGGCTTATTTAAGTCTGATGGTAATCAAATCTTACTTAATTTAATTAAATTCAGTTGGAAATTACAAAAATCGGAAAATACAACATCATTATTATACGATTCTCTTAATTTCTTAAGTCGGAATTCTAAATTTGGTTCTGTAGTAATTTATACTGTTCACGTTCCAGTACGATTATTGAGTCGAAAAGACACTGAACCATAGTTTAAGAAATACACTTAAACCAAAGTTTCAAACCAATCCTTGCCGCGAAATAGTTAATAAAATTATCAGAAAACTTTTAATTAAACTGTTTTTTCCCCATTAAATTTGGATCCATTAATGCATTTGATTTGAAAATTCTTTATGTCAACATTCAATGTGTTTAAAAACAAATATCCCACAAAAATATTTTATAAACATTTATTTAAATTATTAAAAGAAAAATTTTTTTTAAGTAAATATTTTGAACTTTAAAAAAATTTTCCACTTAAAAAAATTTTGAAAACCAAAAAAATTTTTTTCATACTTTTTTTTACAAAAGTTTTTTTGTACT